TCACAGTCAAATATCAACTATAACAGTGTAATTTTAATTACCCCAACGGGCGACATGATGGCGGTAAATTGTAGAGCTTGTGCAAAAATTTACATACGTGTAAAACCTGATGAGTTAGTTCAACTCAAACCGTTTGAGGAAACCGATTGCTTTAAATCATTTAAGTTTGTTAACTCAAACAATTTAAGCATAAAAAAATATTTGATTTGTTTCCAAGTAATTCAATAACTTATTGATAAGATAACTTGGGTAAATAAAGTTAATAGTACTAATTAGTTACTATAACTTAAATCTGTGAAGTACACTGTAAACCCGAATAAGTTGGCAGAACTCAAATCACTTTTAATAGTATAAACTTAGTTAGCTTTAAAAGCTAATCTGCTGACGTAGTAAATGCTAACATATTAGAAACAGTATGTTATAAGCGCTTACAAGCACAGAAGCACTTGCTGTATGAGCGTAATAATATAAAGGGATAATTTGCTCTAAAATCAAGCTGAATGCACCACTTGTCACCATGATGGTAACTATCCTAAAGCCAACATTAACAGAAATTCTTCTAAATTAGCTTAACAAAACATTAATCACTACTAAATCTCACACTTAACATTAATCTTACACACACAAAAAAACAACAACATTATATTGCACTTAATTTTAGCATTTGCACTCTCTTTTGAGTGTGATTGCTGGGAAATAGATATCGCAGCCATTTCAGTTAAACTTAAGTTTGTCTAAATTAAAATAAATAATTTCATAAAACTCAAAACAATGAAACAGTTCAGTTTACTTAAAATATATCAGTTCTGTGAACTTGAAAGAAAAAGAAAGTGCTAAATACTCATAAAAATTAATTTGACTGAACTAATTCGTTGAATTTAAGTTTGTCCTACACAAACCAATTAATTATTTTGACCGTTAGGGTTTACAGTGATATGTATATCTGTATCTTCTTTGGCACTCAACGAAGGCGGTCGCATTTTCTCTCCCTCTAGTCTACTAGTGTCACGTCTAGTATACTGTCTTGTACTTTGAGAGACTCTCTCACCACTGCTCTCCAAACTAAGAAATTATGGATTTGATCAACTGGTCTCTCAATCCAACTGACACCATCTTCTCGACGAGAAGCTTGGGTCCGGGGGAACCTGACTTCCCTGCCGGAACGTTCGCAGCTGGCTACACGATGGACGCGTGAGAGAAGTGGCGGATCGTGTGTCTGGCGGCTCTTTCCGTGGAGGACGAGGACGTGGAAGATATCTACCTGTTAGGAACCATGATAACAGGTCTTCTGCTGATTGGATTAGGCATTGCCCTTGTTTGTCGAAGAATTAAGAAGATGGTCACAGCTGTCTATGACCAACATCATGGAGAAGCTCACAGCTTTGCAAAGGCAAATGGATCGTTTCGGAGACCAAAACGGACCATGAGAATAGCCGTATGCGTCTACTCGCCCGAAGGCCAAAGAATCCCAATCTTATTTGTTTTCGGCCACCCTCAACCAGCACTGGCCTTGGCCAAGGCCGCTGTTGGAACAACAACTCCCCCGGAAGAGCACTGCACTGAGCCGCTCTTGTGTTCCTTCCCCAAATCCCCAGACACCTGGTGATAGTTGACTCTGCCTGGGACCTGATCAAGGTTGTCTCCATGGCAACATATTGTGTATCACTATGACACCTAGATTATGATCCCAGGCATAGTGACTCTCCAGGCCTACACATACATGAACTCTTACATATAGATATGCAATCACCCGTCCCACTCCCCATCCCTCGCCTTCGCCGCTTTGTACCCCCGGTCTGACAGGCGGGTCTGTGACCAGCGCCGAGAATGGCTGCAGGACCGGGTGGCTGCTGCTGGGCCACCTCCATCCCCCACTCCCAAACCCCATTGCAAGTTTTGTTCATGTTGTAGAATGTACTGATTGTGCAAATGTTGCTAATGTGTTTTTTTTCCTGTTCCCACACTGCACTCCTTATCAATCCCCTTGTCATATCATAAATATGTTTGTATGGACAGGTTGATGGCCAAATTCACTGGTACTTGTGACTAAGGCCCCATCCACACTACTGCGTTTTCGTTTAAAAACGGAGAATTAAAACGAATACGATCTTCGTCCACACCAGCGTTTTATCTGCGTATTAGAAATGATCTCCGTCCACATTAAAATGACTGAAAACGCGGATCACGTGACCATTCACCAACACTGGGCATGCGCGTTCCGGTGTAAACAGTGGTTGGCGAATCAGGGAAGGATACGTCATGATGACTGATAACACCCAATCATAGAGCCGAGCATCAGCGTTTCGAAACTCCACCGTTTTGTCTCATCCACACTAAAACACCCTCCGGAGATTCAAAACGAAAAACGGAGCTGCAGCGTTTCTAAAGGTCTCCGTTTTTAAACGAAAACGCAGTAGTGTGGACGGGGCCTAATTGACAATAAAGAGTTTACTATATATATAATTATATTTTTTTGCAAGGCAGGACCCAATGTAAACCATTCTAGTGAACCATCTAATACAGTGTATTTATTAAACCATAGCTTTTAAGCTCATCATATAACAGCCTTCATACTAAAACCACACCAGCACTCTATTGTGTTATTATAAAGTTTTGTCACCATTTTCCATTGTGTATTCACATTTACATTTATGAATCATTTGTCTTTCCTTCATCCATCATTTAAAATGTGTTGTCCAAATGCAGTCGTACAAATCAAAACCGGAGCATTGGGTGATTCATCAAAGCGTTATGTTGTGAGTGTGTGGGTTAGTGTGTGCTGTTGAACATTGCTCATGTCAAGGAGAACGGTCCGCCCCGGGTCTTCTGCATCATTACATCCCAACTACTGTCAGCTCTGACCACCTGATCACACTATTTCTGCTCAAGCACCAAATCAGAAAGCAGTTCTGTGTGCTGCATTTCACTCTCTAATGGTCCCCTCAGCACAACCAAATGACTATTTGGCAAACCATACACCGAAGTGCATTCATGCATTTCAAGAGTGTGTTGCAAGTTACGTACGGTATTAAAGATTGCTTTTGTTCGCTCTTTAGTTTTATGCCATGGCATTGTGTTGGGTAAATAAATAAAACATGAAAAACAATGAACTTATTGATGCTGATTTCGGGGGCTGAGAACAGCAGCAAGCAAATGACAGAACCACATCAGACAAAACAAACTATGTCTGCAACATGTAATTATGTTTGAAACGTGGCAACCAGGAATTGAGACAGGAATTATTTGCAAAGTCTTCAGAGATACAAGTCTGCTTCACATGGTTCCACTTTACAAGCTTAAAGAGAAACAAACAAATTGCACCTCATTTGGTTCACCAGGGATTTATTTTTAACTGCCTTTGGCTTACGCGGCAATCAATAGCGAGCGAGAGCAGCTCTGAGTTTATTCATCTAAACTGATCAGAATTTTCTAGAGCGTGGAGATGAACAATAGTGCAACATTTCTGCACAGTAAAAAAAAAAGAGGACAGCTTTGCGAACAAGACAGACTGCAATTGTGGTGACTGACCAGGAACAATTAAAAAGTCGCTGTCCCGCATGAGTCTGCTACTTACAACTCTCCTTCAAAAGCATCCAGCGTCCCTTATGATGACATGAGTGGGATTTTAAAAAGAACCAGAGGTCTTTTCTGGTGTGATTCAGATGCATCCTTTCATAGAGGCGGCCTTATAATTGGGCATAGAGTGGTGTTTGTTCAGCATGCCCTCACATGCGAGGCCAAGCAGGCGGGCGGTAGAGAGTCTATGAAAGGCAGCTTGGACATGTGCTGATCCAGCCTTGACGTAATTGGTCCCTAAAAACAGGAGGCTGTGGTTCAAACAGAAAAAAAAGAACTTGGATTGGCTGTAATCCTCCTTTTAGCAGCTCTGTGTGTGAAAGTGAGTGAGAGAGAGAGAGAGAGGTTGATGTCCTGTAGACTTGAGTATTGTGTTAACTCTGAGAACGTTTAAAACTCTGGCTGCTGAATCATCCAAACGCAGCGATTTCTGGGTCTTGTTGGGTTATAAATATGGAAGGGAAAATGTACGGTCAGTTAGTCATTATCATATAAAGGTCATTACACAAAAGTATTTTGACCACGAAATCTGACTGACGCTGACAGATCTATTCCACAAATAGATATTCTCTCTCTGTGATAATTACTAAAACTATATCTGTACATCAATTTGTACACACTACAATTCAAAGTTTTGGGATCAGCAATATATATATTTTTAAGATATTATTTTCATTCAGCAAGGATGCATTAAATTGATCAAAAGTCACAGTAAACACATGTACAGTACGTTGTTTAAAAATGTAACTCGGTTCTTTTGAACTTTCTATATTTGACAAAGAATCCTAAAAAAAAACGTATCATGGTTTCTACAAAAAAATATATAGTGGCACAACTGTTTTCATCATTAACAATAAGAAATGTTTCTTGAGCAGCAAATCAGCATAAGTGTGATTTGTACAGGATCATGTGACACTGAAGACTAGAGTAATTATGCTAAAAATTCAGCTTTACCATTTACATTTTAAAATATATTCAAATAAAAAACAGTTCTTTTAAATTGTTCACAACATTACTGTTTTTACTGTATTTTCGATTAAATCAATTTGGTGAGCATAAGAAACTGCTTATTAATAGTTAATAAGTTAGTTGTTAAATTGTAAAAAAGTTAAGTACAATCAACACTTTAACTTAAAGGGATAGTTTACTTTGAAATTAATTTTTGACATGTTTTAGCTTACCTGAAGGGCATCCAAGATGTACAGTAGGTGTCTTTGTTTCCACAGTAGTTTCAATTTTGATCTTTTTAGATCAAGTCAGTCATATAATGCAGGGTTATGGTCACCACCTCAAAGAGCATGCACAGAGAAGTCCAAATTAAACATGATTTAATGACTCATAAATGTAAGTACACATTGATGGCCTAAGACAAAAAAAACGAGCGTGTGTGAAAAAATGAACAGTATTTATATTGTTTTTTACCTCGTGCAACTACAGCCACGTCCAAGTGATCTGAAGGCACGGGCGCTTCGGTCTGAGCAAGCGGCGGAAATCCCTGGAAGTGATCTAATGTGGTTGTGAAAAAAAATTCAACATTGTCTGTTGATATATCGAAATCGTCTTCCATTGCGATTTCCTGTATATCAAAATAAGTTTAGATCTTTAAAAATGAAAGGTATAACTTCCGAAATCTCTGAGTAAACAATTTAGCTCAATGGACGGTTTGACCTAAAAATATCAAAATTGAAAATACTGTGGAAAAAAAGACACCTACATCTGGGATGCCCTTGAGGTAAGCTAAAACATATCAAAAATTATTTTCAAAGTGAACTATCCCTTTAAATTACATTAAACTGAAATGTGTTGAATCTTGTATTTCCTATAAAATAATTTCTTAGTGAGAATTAATAGTTAATTAATTATTAATTAAAAGTGGACTCTAACCTTAAGTGTGAGTTAGTTGACACACTTATTTTTTTTTTCTATAAGTTTGTTTAAAACTAATTGCCTCTGTCATACTTTTCCATGCATGCAATAGAAGCCACTTCAGTCCTCTTGAATGCAACAGTTCAGCGGACACGGTCTGAAAGTGTGCTTGAGGGGGGATGGGAGGACAGAAGGAGGTGCTTTAATCCTCAGAAATAAACTGACACTAAATCTTCTGTTCGTTTAAGAACTCCTCACACGCTCCTTTGAAATGAGAAAAAGAAAAGATGTTGAAGTTCAGCAAAGAAAGAGAGCCACAGAAGTTAATTTCAAGTTCAGCAAATCCAAACTAATTAACATGTGATCCAATCAGGAATGCAAAAGCACAAAGAAATATGGCATTTTCAACCTAAAATTGTGTATAAAAGTGTATAGCAATGAGTAGATTCACTTTATTGTCAATGCCAAGCGTGTGGGCTTGAGGTGGGTGCTGAGAGACTTCGTCCAGCACAGCTCTCACTTTGAACCTAAAAATCAAAGGCTTATTTTTGCCATGTTTACAGGACAAGGATACAAAGAACTGCGAGGGGAAAAATGTGCATGTTATTTCTCAAAACTCTTGTCAAAGCTTGTTCGTATTTTGGGAAAAGGTGAGAGAAAGCTCAACATTTTTCTTGTACTTAGGATAAAAAGATTATCTATCCTGAAATGCACTGCATTGTTGTTGGTGCTTGTGTACAATTGCATGTCCGCTAGGGGAATGAAGGAATGATGGGAAATTTAAAGTGAACAGCTGATGTGGTTGAGGTTTTTCTGTTGTGGTTGAGGGGGGTCAAGCCTTTTGAACAACAACAATACACACTGGACACTAACCTTTGACAATTATTCCCAGAAAGAACGTGGTGGTGACCGCTTGGGCTCATTGTTCCCACCCGGCTGGTGTCCATTCTCAATCGGAGGGAAGAACTTGACCTACAACTGTAAGAAATTTGTGTCAGTCATAAGGAGCAATTACATACAAGGCTCAACAATAAGTGACCTTTCAGAAAATGGGAATAGCGCTATAGATGCTAAGATGTCAGCATTAGCATTGCTTGCAAACTTGCTGATTAGCATTGCCTCCAATTAAGTTGCAAATTGAAATGAATGTGAAAAATTAAAAACAAAAGCACAAAAACAACTGGAAAATAAAGTAGATTGGTCGCAGTTGCATTCACTTGCATGATTTGAGGAATTTATTCTGTAAATTGTAGTTTATGCAAATGCTTTATAGGGAATAAAAATAAAGTGCCTAAAATTATGCTCTTTACCTTTCATGGAGACATGTGGCCAATGCTACTCATTTCTGGCACCACAGCATTGTTATACATAGAGCATATACTGTAGAGTATAATGATTGTGGCATGTGAATACGAAGCAGTTGATACAAGTTGATTGTGCAATAAATTATAATACGCAAAGTGACAACGTCAACTGCATATACCAAAGGTTTGAATCACCGCCAAAAGCCACATCTCCACTCTGCACCGACGTGACTGGGAAAGACATGTGCATCCACATGTTCCAATACTAAAGACTTCTTCAGGGCCAGCTGAAATCTGGGTAACAGATCTGAGTAAAGCTGTTTGATGCAAACATGTTCGTCAGATGTGACATGCTGTGATGATGGAAAAAAAAGGTTGTCTTTTTTTTTTCTTTTTTTTTTCATATTTATTGTACATTTTCAATTTTTCAGACAAATAGACAATACAATCACAGGACAGAACCAAACAAACATACAAAAAAAAAACCCCCCAAAAAAAACCTTCAGTTAGATTCAAATGGGCAGAAGATCACATCAATGGGCACAGGCAAGGAAGGTCAAAACAGATGTTTGCCTAGTGAGACATTATAAACCAGGTGAAATTGTACAACTTGACCACATGAGATATACATAAGTATCTTAACGTTAAAGACAGAGGTCGGCAGAAATAACAATGAAATCCTAAAAAAATAAAATAAAAATGAACACAGAAACATTAAGCTTTGACATTGCTGATTTTTAACAAGTGATTGAAAAGAGGCCTCCAAGAGGCTTCAAATTTCTCTATATTTCCAGAAATAGTATATCTGAGTCTTTCCACGTGCAAAGTGGAGGAAAGTTCTGACAACCAAAACTTAAATAGAGGCTTCGAATTTTTCTTCCACATGCAGAGTATAGATTTTTTAGCAATCATCAAACCATACTGTATGGGCAGTCGGATAGCATTATTAAGGCGCAACAAAGAGGCCGACCAGCCAAGAATGACAAAAAAAAAAAAAAAAAAAGGTTGTCTTTAATAAATCCCTTTGGATAATATGGAAGATAGAATATAAAACAGAAAACAGCCTAAATGTGTTGTTTTGCAAGGAATAGTGAACATTTCACAGGTTTTCCTCTGTGAAACAAAACTGAGATGTTGTTCACAATGTTATGAATGTCCAGTATTGCTCTCACTGAAAAAAAACAACAACTTTGTTACATTTTTCCTTTTGTGTTTAGACAGAAAAAGTAAAGTCAAAGGAGCGACCTAAATGTGAGTGAAATCAGAGGTCAAAGGTGAAGTGTAGTTCACTAAATCACAAGCATCATTAGCGCTACCATTTCCACTCCATCTACACAACAAGAGCAAAACAGAGAAAGTTAGATTTAGCCTAAAGAAAGGATGAAGAGAAAGAGAAAACTGCCACTTCTGTAAACAAATCGAGCGCTAGGTTGTTTATCTGCAGATCTGGCATAAAAAGCGAATTGCTCCTGAGAAAATCTACTGCATAAGTAGTCTGGCTCCAGCGCTGTTATTTAACACGTTTTTAGAGCATTGAGCAATGTACCAACAACTCAGGGGTACTTAAGGTCTGTAGCTTTCACAATGTTAATACTTTCTGCAATCACTAAGGCGTAAAATGTGTTTTTTTGTTGTTGGTACAACTTGGTGATTACAGTATAATGAACCTGGCAATTTACATTAATATGGCACACGATGTCCTAGGAGTAAATTGTTTAGAGGCTTGATTTTATTTATTAGGTAACACTTTACTTGAAGGGGTGTGCATAAGACTAACATGACACCTTCATAATGCCATGACATGTTATGAATATGAAGGAAGTTTTATGCATGTTTGTGACAACAATCATTAAGTGTAATTCGCTCATTTATGATATTTTTAATGCAATTATGACATTGTTTGAGATGTCTTTGTTATGACACCTTGACATAAACCAATACATCATAACCTGTCAGTGTCTTTGTCATGACAACTTGACATTACTTGACAACACAACCTGTCATAAACATGACATAGCAGATTAATGATCAAACTAAGAAACCACTTAGCTTTATTGGTTAACATTACATTAAACTGTCAGGTGGTTGCTTTTGACATTGGCTGCCATGAAGCCATTATAACTTTTCAATGACAAATTCAATTAGTACAACTGTAGTTGAGGTCACGATGGCCTCATAATGGCCTCGTAACAGCCAATGTCAACACCAACCACATGACAGTTTAACTTAAATTTAATGTCAAGTTGTCATGACAAAGACACTGACAGGTTATGATGTATTGGTTTATGTCAAGATGTCATAACAAAGATCTTAAACAATGTCATAATTGCATTGAAAATGTCTTTATTGAGCGAAAGACACTTAATGACAGTTGTCATAAACATGCATAAACCCTACTTCATATTCAAGTCATATGTCATGTTATGATTATGAAGGTGTCATGTCCGTCTAATGCACACCCCTTCAAGTAAAGTGTTACCTTTTAGGTAACAATTAGATATGTAGTATCAACACTTTTCTGACAAAAGAATGAACTTTAAATGTTTAATAGCTTTAGTTCACAAAACAAATTACTCACCCTCAAGCCATCCTAGGTGTATATGACTTTCTTCTTTCAGCAAAACACAATCAGAGTTATATTAAAAAATATCCTGGCTCTTCCAAGCTTTATAATGTAAGTGTATAGTGACTTATATTTTAAAGCCCCAAAAAAGCACAGTCATCCATCATAAAAGTAATCCATAAGGCTTCAGGTGGATAATAAGGGATTGTTGAAGTAAAGTGATGGATTTTTGTATAAAAATATCCATATTTATAACTCTATAAACTATAATCATTGGTTTCTGGTAACGGCGGTACACAAGTCGAGTTTTGGCGGAAGAATGACCTCTGACCTGCCGATGAATGATGATGAATGAACAATAAAAACATTGACAGCCAATCAGAATCCATCCTGCTTTAAAGGGATACTCCACTTTTTTTGGAAATAGGCTCATTTTATCACTCCCCCAGAGTTAAACATTTTAGTTTTACCGTTTTCGAATCCATTCAGCCGATTTTCTGATATTTAGAAGAATATCAGTAACCAGACAGTTTCTGGTCTCATTGACTTCCATAGTATATTTTTTCCTACTATGGAATTCAATGAGACCAGAAACTGGTTACTGATATTCTTCTAAATAGCAGAAAATTGGCTGAATGGATTCAAAAACGGTAAAACTCAACTGTTTAACTCTGGGGGAGTGGTAAAATGAGCCTATTTCCAAAAAAAAAGTGGAGTATCACTTTAAGGAGCATGAGCATTTAAAGCGGCAGACGACAAAACTGCAACATGCTTAGAATAAACAGAACTGCTAATAAAGTAATCATTATCGATAATATTATTATTATTATAAATTAAAAGCACCAATTATATATTATAAAATAATTCTTTCATACCCTATTCATGGAAAGTTGTATTTTTATACTGCAGCTGAACTATTGATAGAAGAAATAAACACTTTTTACAGCGTTGAGGGAAATGAACCTTGATGACGAGACACTAAACACTGCTAAAAAGTGCGGAACTGGCTTGATGTGTCTGAGGTGTGATGGTACATCTCTCGCAAAGCAGTTCCCAAGTCTTGACGTATTAGGCCGTTATTGTTCGCCTTCCACACAGGATGTCACATGGGCCTGAGTATTTGTGTCAACGTGGGAAGAGGCAGTTTGGGAATCCTAAGTGGAATCAACAGGAAGAGGATTGGAGTCGGTTCTCCCTCTCATGTACGGCACTGAACCCCAGCACGCGTGATATCCTCTTCCTCAGCTTGAGAGACGCTGTCTCCCGGCAACGGCTGACTGAGAGCCGTGATTGGCCAAAGCGCTCTAAAGGGTGGCCTTTAATAACAGCGATGTCCCAGAACGCAACTGAAATGTTAATAAAGTTACAGCCACACTAGGGGAAGGCTTTTGAAACTCACTTTACATCTCATCAACATAGGCCCGATTTAAAAGTCGCACGGATGAAGGGTGACAGCGCTGATGCTTTAGTGGGTCCCGAAAGCACTGTTTCGTCCTGCCAAGATCACCTCTACATGTTAAATTCCTCTGGCTGACGTCCTCCCCCTAACACCTGACCTGGGATCAGATTTCTCAGAGTAATGGGAAGGAAAGAGAGCCAATGCTGATGCCTGACAGTCGCTGGAGCGAGAAGTGTCAATGCTCTGTTACGTCAGCACTTCTCAAGAGTGAGGATGTGCACATGCTCACTGTTTGACAAGAACGTCTGGTCGCCAAAATAAGCCTCCATATTTTCTCGCCGGGAATGACTGTTTTGGGATGTCTGTGTAAATGTTACTGGACTGCCTCAGAGGTTTAAAAGCATGCTTTGTCAGGGTTTTAAGATGACAGGGCTTCTTTCTTCTATGTTCTATTTTGGTCTTTGTTCAGTGGTTTGCATGAGCTGCAGAAACATGCGAAACGCTTGTGTACCGAAATGGCCTTTCACTAACGGCGTCACTTGATTTTGTGGAGTCCGGAAGGACACATTTAGAGGGCCCCACTCATCACAGGTCCCGGGACAACGTTCTCCAATGACGAGCCTGCATTCACACTAATTCATAATTAATTCAATAATTTTCATGACAATTAAGAATATTTCCCACCGGAATTCTAATTATTGTTATGCATATGAATGCAATACTTTTTAATTTAAATTTATGGTTTTTTTTTTGTAACTCCCATTATTACCAAATTATTACCAATGAGATTTTCATTGCTATAATAATAAAATATATATGTTTTATTTATTTTTTTATAACCATATTGCAAAAATTCTTAATGGTTTATTAAATATAGTATATACTGTTTTCACATTTTTTTATTGCATTTATTGATTTTATTTAATGCTCAATATTTAATTTTTAATTAATATTTAATTTATTGCTTATTTTTATCTATTAAATATTTTTATTCAATATTTTCAATAATATATTACAAAATATATATATATATATATATATATAAAGGCAGTACAACAGTTAGTACCAAAATGCAAAATGCAAAAAACAAAAAAACAAACAAAAAAAAAACACTTAATTGTAGCTAATGGAAATTTTAGCAATATATATTTTTATCTTTTAATCTCAGGGTGAAATGTGCCCCAGCAATGTTTTTGACCGGCTGTGAGATTGAACATAGGCTACTTACTTTATTCAAGACAAACAATTAGTCGTAACCTCAAACTCTGCTGTGCAAAACTACCACTACAAGAAATCTGGCATCTTTAAATTATATTGTGAGTGGCTAAACAAATATTTTAATTGCTCCTCTGAAAGCTTGTAAAAAAACACCAAAAGATGAACAAATACTTCAACTGGGGAATTGAATTGCCAAAGAACACTTTCAAATGTTTAGCATTTTCTTTTCTTTTGGCTTTGATTTTGCAAGTGTAAACAACTTTTCCAACAACCCGAAGGTCTGTCTTTGACACCGACAT